CCCAATCCTTTCCCTCATAATCAGTCCGCTGGCCAGCCAATGTGATGCCAGTAAGATGTTTTGAGAAACTGAGGTGTGAAACTAGTAACCTTCCATTCTCAGGGCAAATGGAGATCGTGCCAGTTTGGTGATCTGGTCTTCTTCCGTTGTCATTTCCTCCTCCCGTTCCCCGCCACCACCCGTTTTCTACCATTTGACACATAAATGTGGATTGCCCAAAATGCCTACCCCCTCCCTTCCCATTGCAGAAACCTAGCAAGGCACCAGGCCAGAGGTGGACTGCATATACGGTTAACCAGTTTGCTGAAAATGTGAGCGAGCACAAGCACACATTCTTATATTCAACACTATTCACTCACCAATGAACATAGTACTGTACACTAAATCTGCTATGGAAGCTTTAGAAGATGAATTATCTGAAAGAGTTGTGTTATGTCTTGGGAACCGGTTGGGGCTCCAACCGGGTCCGCTCTTTATGCAGATTCAACAACCGTTCCTATTGGCTGGCGCCGTTTGACAGCCGGCATATAAAAAGCCGGCTGTCAAGCCAAGCCAGCCGTTGTTCGCACGCCAGTCTGCCCGTCACCGGCAGACGCGACAACCACCGTTCATCAAATAAACATTGTTAACCGTATGCCCTGGTCTAGCCTCTCCTTTCCTTCGAACTACAACAAGTTGAGCAATTAAAGATTTTTCAACCCAGGTGACTTTAAATTAGCAGTTGGAAAAAGACTAGTGTTTTTAAAAACATACATAGTAAAGTTTTCCTGGTTTGCCTCTTCAGAGTTATGCTGTCACCAAGCTTCCAACTCCTACAGTTAATATAGGTAAGCTGAACTTAATTAGACTTGCTGACCTCCTAGTTAATGGAATTGTAGTTCGATTATGACTGTAAGTACTGTGAGAATTCAGATGCATTACTGATAGTAATATAGGTAATATTTTATAAATGTTATTGATCACCTCCAGGGGTGGGATTCAAATTTCTTAACAACTGGTTCTGTGGGCGTGGCCTAATTTGTGGGTGTGGCTAGGCAGTCATGTGACTGGGGTAGGCGTGGCTACATGTTCATGTGACTAGGGTGGGTGTGGCCATGTGGCCGGCAACCCAAATTTAAGTGGTCCTCGCTTAATGACCAGGTCCCCGCTTAGTGGCCAGTTGCTTAGCAAGCATTCTAATTTACAACTGACCTCCACAGAGGCACTTGGCCTGTTTTTCGTGTTTTGATAGCCATACGTACACACACAAACACACACACTTCAATTACTTTTAAGAGTCCCTGACACTATAGCTAATTCGTGTTTAAAAGATGTTATGGAAGAGGAACAAGTTTCACCAGACAAGACTGAGATGGAACTGAAAGTGGATTTGAAAATGACAGTATATAAAAAAGATTCTTTAAGCAAAGGAGAAAGAAATATCAAGATGAATCATAAAATAATTTTTATTTATGTATTTATTTCTTTAGTATCTGTTTTGTTTGTATGATTAATAAAAAAAAACAGATAGTAAAAAAGTAAATAAATACATAAATAAAAAAGCAACTTACCAAAAATGAGGCAGGCGACCAGCTTAGTATTATCTGCAAATTTGTTAAGTTCTCCTTCTATTACCTCATCTAAGTCATTTATGAAGATATTGAAGAGCACTGGGCCTAAGATGGAACCTTATGGTACCCCACTACATGTAGATGTAGTACCGTTAAGGACTATTTGTTGAGTACAGTTTGTCAGTTACAAATCCATCTGATGGTGATATTATCTATCCCACTTTTTTCTAGCTTACCAAGAGGTAGGTTGTGGTCCGCTTTGTTGAATGCCTTGCTGAAGTCTAAGTATATTATGTCCACAGTATTTCTCTGGTCTACTAATTTAGTCACTATGTTGAAGAATGAAATAAGATTGGTTTGGCATTATCTGTTTTTAACAAACCCATCCTTGACTTCTAGTTATTATTTTATTCATTTCTAGATGTTGGCAGTTCTGTTTTTTTATGATCTTTTCCAGGATCTTCCTGGGTACTGATGTTAGGCTGATTGGTCTGTAGTTTCCTGCATCTGTTTTCTCCCCTCCTTTTTTTGAAGATGGGAACCACGTCAACTCTTTTCCAGTCCTCTGGGTGATCCAGAATTTTTTGACAGATGTGGTACAGTGGTTCTGAGATGACTTTTGCCAGCTTTTTAGAACTCTAGAATATAATCCACAAGGTCCCAGTGATTTCTATTCATCAAGATCAGATAGGTGTTCTCTTACTATTTTTTTTTTTTTTGCTTATTTTAACTTTTATTTCTAGTCTGTCTTTTACAGTTATGTTTTTGGTAGGTTGGACTATAGTTTCTTTTTGCATGAAGACCAATGCAAAGAATGAGTTAAGGAACTCTGCTTTCTCTCTGTTGCCTGTTACTTTCTTGTCATCTTCTCTCTTTAGTGGACCGTTTCCTTGATTTTTTTTCTTGTTATTTATGTGTTGGAAGAAACTTTTAAAAATTGTCTTTGACTTTTGTTGCAAGTCTATGTTCATTCTTAGCTTTGCTTTCCTGACTTTGTGCTTCCAGATTCTGGCTGTCTGCTGACATTCTGCCTTACCCATGTGTCCTTCCTTCCATTTTTTGTACTTCTCCTTTTGGTCTTTCAATTTGTCAAAGAGATCTTTATGCAACCATGCTGGTTTCTTCTTGGATTTCTTGCTTTTCTTTTTCAGTGGTATTGTACTGGACTGGGCTTTTATGATCATATTTTTCAGAGTTTCCCAAGATTCTTGAGTTATTTTCCCCTTTAGGATTTTCATTCAAGGAATCTTTTCCAAGTTCTCTGAGTTTATTAAAATCAGCTCTTTTAAGATCTTAAGACTTAATAAATCCATATATTTGTTACTAGGTTGGCAACAAGTACATCTATTTTTTTCTGCTTGGTTGGGTGGCTTGTAGTATACAGTCATGCCATTGTCATTCTTTTATTCTTTTAGATTGAACCATATGCATTTTAGAAGGTTTTCAACTTTGGTTTTGTGCATTTATGTAGCAATCTAATAGTCCTTTATAATACATACAGTGCAAGTCCATCTCCTCTTTTATGGGGTCTGTTTTTTTTTTAACAATTTGTATCCTTTTATCAGTTTGTTCCAGTCATGGGTTTCGTCCCACTAAATTTCTGTAATTCCAGCTACATGTATTAATGGTTCAAATTTGTTTGTTCCCCAAACATTGTGCATTTGTATATAGGCACTTGAGATCTTTAGGTCTAACTCTGGGTATGCTTTCTATGTCTTCTGTTTGGTGTTTGAATTTGTCTTCCTTCCCATCTTTCCTTACCTCATTATTTAACTTGTTTTCTAGGGGTTTTTGCTTGGAATTAGCTCCTGGAGATCCTAAAAATTGGTCACCCTCCCCCCTCAATTTTAGTTTAAAGTCCTCCTGATAAGTTGAGCCAGTCATTTTCCAAAAACGTTCTTCTCAGTCTTTGTAAGGTACAGCCTTCCCTTGCCAAAAGCCCATCGTGGAGATTGTACAGACCATGGTCCAGAAATCCAAAGTTTTTTGGGTGACACCAACCCTTTAGCCTAGGGGTGTCAAACTCAATTTCATTGAGGGCCACATCAGGGTTCTGCTTGCCCTCTGGGGGGGAGGGGGTGGTGGCATGGTGTGGCCAGTTCAACATCACTTGTGTCGGCAGTGTCTTTGGTGGCCCGAGTGCTCTGCCAGCGAAAACAGGCTCCTGTGCCCTGTTTTCAGCTGCGATGCTTCCTGCAACCCTCTGCCAGTGAAAATAAAGCTCTAGATCAAGGGTCCCCAACCACCGGGCTGCGGACCGGTACCGGTCCGTGGAACATTTCCTACCGGGCCACCGGTTTGCTGGGCACCGCCATCTTGTTTGACGAGAAAGTGCTTCCGGGTGAGCTTTTCCAGTTGGAAAGTAGTGTTTGGGTCCTGAAGGAATCCTCGCGCCTCAGTTTCATCGAGGGGGGGGGGCTTCGAACAAAACTAAGGCACGAGGACTCTTTCAGCACCCAAGGCAAGGCAAGCCGAGCTACCGTCCCGAAACCATCCCGAAGCAAAGCCCATCGACAAAGGTACAAAGGAGGAGTTGAAGGTGGCGGGGAGAAGCGGGGGACAGCTGCCTGGCCGGTCACTCGGCTTGCCTTGCCTTGTCATGCGTGCTGATGCCGGTACCGGGCTGCGTATCATTTTGTGATGCCGGTACCGGGCTGCGGCACAAAAAAGGTTGGGGGCCACTGCTCTAGAGGGCTTCCCGTGGTCCCCATGAGCTGTTTTTCCTGTCAGAGCCACCACGAGCTGATCATTCACTGTTTCCAAGGCAGCTCTGCGGGCCAGATCTAAGCACCCCATGGGCCAAATCCAGCTCCCAGGCCTTGAGTTTGACACCACTGCTTTAACCAAGGGTTCATTTCTAGAATCCTTTGTTCTCTTATAGGATGTTGACTTTTTGTTGGCAGTACAGATGAAAAAATTGCTTGTGCACCAAACTCCTTAACTTTCTTGCCTAGCTGCTCGTAATCACTCAATATTGTTTTCAAGTCCTTTCTTGTGTCATTCGCCCCCACGTGTAGTAGTAGAAAATGGTAGTAATCTGTGGGCCTAATTATTTTGGTAATATTCTCAGCTACATCCTTGATTTTTGCTACAGAGAGACAACATATCTGTCTAGATTGTATGTCTGGTCTGCAGATAGCTGGTTCTGTTCCTTTGAGAATAGAATCTCCTATCACCAACACTTGCCTTCCCTTTTAAGGGGTGGAGTGTGGGGTGCTTTTCTGTTTTTCCCAGGTGAGTTTGTTGATGTGACTTTTTAAGGGATATTTGATGATGTCTCTCTTCTCAGTGTTTGCACGTTTCCTTCGAGGGGAAGTTGTGGGTCTGAGTATTTTCAACTGGGGGAAAAATCGGCTGCTCAGTTTTAATGGGACTGTTTCTGATAAGGTAGATTGGGCAGCAAGGATTAGATGTGTGCTGCTTCTTTCTTTGATTATTCCTTCTATGTGTGACATACCTCAATTTGTCTTCCTCCAAGGGTTTATCAGCACGGTCAAATCCTCTGGGAGTTATTTATTACTTGGTTCAATTTGGGCATAGATTTCTTGGGTAGGTTGGAGTTTGGCTAGAGCTGCCTCTAGATCCCTTACTTTTTCCTCTAGTAGTTCGTGTGGCTTACATTTAGTACATGTATAACTTGGGCAGAAGCACAAACATGGAACATGCATTGCATACCACAATATTATCAGCCAACTGTTCCATGAGTTTGTTCCTTTTTGCTGGTTCTTTTAAGAGTAAAGCTTTGTGTCTTGCTTTTTTTCCCCCCATCTTTTTTTCTGCCTTTTTGTGCTTATTACTATTATGTTAATTTTATGTTCCCCTTTCTTCCCTATATTTTTAAAAAGTTTTTGAGCTCCAGTTCCCCCCATCTTATTAAGATTTGCCTTGATTGATCTTTATTAATCCTATTCTTCCTTGATTTCTAATTTTCTACTTGTCTTTATTATTTGCCTATTTATTTAGCTTTTATTTTCTGTCCTGTATTTATTTTTGTTCTCTACTGGGGTCTTCCCTCCCTGCCTATTGTAACTTCAGGCTTAATTTGTTGCTTTCTGTTGTCCACTGCTCCGGCCTCATTTTCAGCCTCGTCCCTGCTCTGGTCAGTTCTCTCGGCCTGCTAGGCAGCTTTCCGCTTCACTCAGCTCCATCGTCATTTCCCCCATTGCTCTTTGCGCTGCTCTCAGGCTCTAGCTCACTTTCCTTGCCCTGTGCTGCTGCTGGCTCTCTCTCTCCTCCCTTCTTTTCTGCCGCTCTGGAGCCACGTGTGGCCCGTTTACTTGTCTTTCCAACGGGCAAACAGGACTGCCTGGATGGTCCCCAGCAAGCTTGCTTCTCTTCACTTCCTCCTGCTCTGTTCTCTCACCGGGTCAATAGTCCATAGCAAGGGGTGCCTCTCCCATCCTCTGCTCCTCCCTGTTTTGCTCTCTCGCCTGTTCGCCTCTTTGTTCTCTGCTGGTCTTGCACTGCCCTCAGTCTGATGGCCTTTCCACCCCGCAGCTTGTTTTCCTAGCTGCTCCGCACCTGGCCCCACTCACTCACCAGCTCGCCTCTTTATTCTCCACTGGTTGGCTTTGCTGCCTGCAATTGGTTTGCATCTCTGCATACCTGACTTCAATGGGCGTCTGGTCTCTTGGGTAGGCCTCTCAGGTGCAGCTGGGCTTCTCTCAATTTCTCCAATCTTCCTCTCCTTTTCCTTTCTCTGGACTTTTTTGTTTTTTCCTATGACTTATTTTTCCTTCTCTACCTCTCCTCCTACCGTTTTATTTAAAATAGCAACTTTTCTACCTGCAATGTTTAACTATGCTTCGTTGCCACCATTGATCTGTCCTTGATTTTTTTGGTTTTTTTGAAGCTAAAGATTAGGATGGCTTGAAAAAATCAGAATCGCATATGACAATAGTTAAAAGTAGATTTAAGTCTCAGAAAAGTGAATAGCATACAGTAAATACCTTCAAGCCAGTATTTCTATGCCTGAGCATGCTTCAGACAGATGCATAGAACCAACATGGCCATTGCTAAGGACTGATAAAATGAGAAATAGACTGCTGCATCAAACCCTTTTTACAAATCATTTTTTTCATTGTACTACTTTATAAATTTCTTAAACATGACCAGTGTCATTCCTCTCCTTGAACAAAACAATCTGAACAAAAGCAATAAAACTAGTCTAATGACAAAAGGCAAACTTGTTCATAGATGCTGGAAGTACATAAGAGTTCAACATTTTAATGAAGAACAAATACACCAGATTGAATGAACTGCAATTGATGCTTGGTATTAATATTTTTAAACACAGAAATATGAAAATCCTAAAGAACTGAAGGTTAATAATGTTTCCAAAGAGGTATAAGAAGTCAGTTTAATCTCAATTGTTGAATAAGCTACTATTGGCTAGATTCCAACATTACACGAGTTTGTAAACATGTTTAAAAATAAAAATCAGAGTACAATCAATAAAGCAATCCACAGACTCGGTGTCTTCCAGAGCACGGTATTATTTGGTTGATATGGGAGAAATCTCTTTTTGGTATTATGTTAGTACTGATCTGTATAACCAGTTGTTCTCAAGATTGTGTATAAACGTAACCAAACATTATTATGGTTTTTGTTATAAAATATGATTTTATAGTCTCAAATTCTTTATTAATAATGTAACAGTACCAGTTATGCTCTCTTGATCATTAAAGGCAAACTGAATGAAATAGTATACATTAACACTATCCAGAAAACTGTTGATATGACACATTTCTCCTGATGTGCTCTGAGACCATAAAAGAAAAAAATTGAGACATTTTGTGGTACACTTGAAAAGGGTATCTTCCTTGTTAACCCTAGATTAACCCCTTGGTGTTTCCAAGAACCCCTTCTTGGAACATCTGACAGATCTATATAGCTATCTTGAAATTTGTATATCCAGTGAAAATATATCCAGTAAAACATAGCTAGTAGTTTAAAACATCACCGTATCCACAAACATTCAGGAAAAAAACACCATACTTTTCACAAAGTTATCAGGTATTACTGGCCAATATCTACCCTTCAATCTTGAACCTATTTCATCTACATACATCCTGAACTGAATCAGGCATCAGAATGAGTTGGAAAACAACATTACCACATATATATATCTACAACATAAATGTATCGTACTATGCAATTTTGGGAACTTTTTGCTAATTAAACAGTACATCATGCATATTCTGGAAACAATATTATGGGAAGAGGGATAAAGCTAACGTATTTTTAAACTAGTCCAACAATATAAAAGGAGAAAGCTTTTAAATTCTAGTTAAAAGAATTCTTAAATTAGAAGTAGGCAACTTTTGTTTGGCTAGCATATACTTTTATTCAAAGGCCATTTAAAAAGTTGCTTAGACGTAGCATGTTGGCTACAAGCTTTTTATATATATATAGTTCATCCACACCTCCGCTTTTGCTTTATCTCTGGGGTAAATGATTTGCAAATCTGATTAACAGCTACACATTGCAGTCTTTTATTTAGTTCATGTCTCACCAGTGAATGGATTTAGATAAGGTTTAACATATAAGGTTTATACCATGAATTACTCAACACATACGGAAAAAAACCCAAATCTTTGTGCAACTTTTGTGCAAAAAAAAATAATAGTGGTAAAGCATTGTCATTTTTTAAAAAAAATAGCTTTCATAAATAATCACCTCCCTTTCAGACTACGAAGTGGTATTCCTGAAATGAATGGTTAATATGAATATTTCTGAAACTATTTTGTTTTTTAGATTTTTTCTTTTGTTTATTTCAAATTTATATTGGTTACATCCTCATTCAGATTTGCAAACATAAATTATTTTATCTATTAAATCAGGAAATGATCTTTAGATATTTTTGAATGTAACTTTCTGGGGCAGCTAAGAATGGAAATGTTGGGGTTGTTCTTAAAACAAAATATATTATTTTTAAACAGAACAAATGAAATTAATCTTATTTTTTTGAACATTGTATCTTTATATGAAGATTAGCTATCTAACCTGGCATCTAGACAGAGAATTAAACAACAATCTTCTATTTTTCTCGCATTCCCTAAAATGTTTACATATGTTTAGGGTAAACATACTAGTTTGATTTAAAAAACTTGGTAAAGCAGTGAAATTGAAACAATGGCATGAATACACAAATTGTGTGGTAATTAAAAAAACCTGTTTCTGTTTATGTATATTATATATTATTCACTGAATTGAACAGTGACAGAATCTGTATTTTGTGAAAGTGCTCCAGTTGTAAATACAACTTAAGTGAAATCATTTTGGAATTATTTTCACTCACCAGATCAACATTAAATCAAGCAAAATCTTTGTTCAAGTTCAAGACTAACAAAGCTTTCTAAATATATTTCTTAGACATTTAACAGTGCATATCATCTATTTTGTGCAAACCTCTGAGAAATGTTGTCACCAATCTCAATCAAAAGCATTAAAAATATCAAACCAGGGCACATCAGCATAGAATGCATAATCACAGTTCACAGCACTGGAAGGGAATGGTAACTTTCTAGAATATTACTAAGTAAACCCTGTTCATGCTATGGCATGAGCCATTCAGCATAAAACACACGTCAATTTTTCAATACAAGAATACATTTTAAAATTTATAAGTACAAAAAAATAGCAAGTTTTCAAAAACTTTAGCATTTCTTTTTTGTAAATACTTCATGTGCAGAGTAGATGTCAATTTAGCAAAATTAGTTTTACGGGAAAGGGAATTTGGATGCTGAAGCAGATTTAACTGTTATGTTAACTTAGAAGCAATATAGGATCTTCTAGTTCATAGAAGGGTATTGAGCTAGCCTGGCTTTCTCCAGAGTCTGAATCATAGGGAGCATCTGGAAGCTCCATGAAGCTACAGGCCAGTTGTTCATCTTCAACATCTGATCGGATATAGCAGGAATTATTAGAAAATTCCTCCTCTTCCACAGTGTTAAAATCCTGGGGAATGTATAGCATCCCTGGGTAGTTCCTGCTCACTAAGTCACTAGTTGTTTTGAGTGAGATTTTCCTAAACGCCATCAAATGCATATGAGAAAACTTTGAGTATTTGAAACGTTTAAACCCTAAAGATTCAATAGCAATTTTCCAGCTTTTCATCATCGTAGCATGGCGATTCTGATGGGAAGAGTCAGGAGTGATAATAAGGAGCAATCCATTTAATACAAGTAGTTCGTGGGCCTTTTTACAACATATCCATCGCTGATAGGGTGAAGGGAAATAAGAGAGGAGGAGGGAAAAGACGACAACATGAAATAGTTCTCCGGGCAGGGAATCAATGGGATTCTTTAACTGTTTCAAAAAAGCATCAATAGCATCCTGTGCAAGCTGGAGAGGTTGATGAATCTGAAGGTTTAAAAAATCACATTTGTAGACACTCTGGGGGAAGAAATACAGAGGCAATTATATACTTGGTGTGTAAGTAAATAAGATGATAACTCAGTTAAAATAATTCTTAAAACTTTTATCTGAGTATAATATTTTTTAAGGTAAGCAAGTAGCCTGCGTTGGTTTCAGGTAATGTAAGGTGTGTAAAATCCAACTATATGACACATCACGGAGTACTCAAACTTTAACCATTCTATAACTTAAGCAATGGCTTTAGATATACACTAACAAAGATGAAGTTTTCAGTCATATGTCCATACTTTGAACTTAACTATTTATTAAAATATTCACTTTCAATTTAAAAACTATGCTAGCAGATATTAATCAAAAGGGAATTGGAAGATTAGCAAGCGTTGAATAATACATTTTATGATTTGCGTTATTAATAATTTCATACCTCAACAGCTGGGACAATATCAATACCAACAGTCAAAAACTCTTCAAACTTCAAAAACGGATTAAAACAGCTGCCAACATCAAGTAATCTTATCTTTCCTGAAGGATGTAGCGATCTAAGTGGAAGGGAAAAAAAATTGAAATCTATCTCAGAATCCCCACAATCTTGATCATGGAAATTCTATATAAAACAGTAAATATGTTACAGTTTCAGAATTAATGAGTGAGATTTGCATAAAAATATTTTTCTTTTTAATCTTTCAGGTAATCAATAAGGCGGTGTTTGAACTGGGTTTTTATTCAAACAACAGAACATGTCAAATTTTGAAAGATATGGAAGATTCAGTGAACTGGCTCATGACGTACATATTAAGCAACATGGTCTCCAATTTAGCAACTATGTATGTAACAAGAAAATCTGTTTTTTGAAGTTCTAATATAAGAAACTATTTGCCTAGCTGCATACATACATATTATGATTATACGACGTTCTAACAAAATATCCTATATTTTTCATCTAAATTGGCTGCTTACTTCAGAATATTTTAATTCTATACAAGACATTATAGCCATGCTATATAAAAGAGGTATTTAATCTATTAATAACAGTTTGTCATGCTTTTCCCAATGAAATCTGAAAACTTTAGTTTGACAATGGTAATATTTTTTATTGTTGTTAGAGAGCCATAAAACCTATTCCTAATAAGAAAGAGTAACTGGTTGTAGAAGTATGTTGTATATGCTTTATGAGAAGATATAAACCAACCAAAGCTAAGCATTTAAATCACACTGGTTTTAAAGAGGAAGTCTAGATCACACAATAGTGCTCAAAAGTCTTATTTATTTAAGTTAATAAATTCAAAGTATATTACAAAAATTAACTTCCTGTTCATAATCACATCCTAATTAGACACTTACTCATCTGTTACAGAACTATGGCTTGAATTATCAGTAGAAACTTCCATTTTTGAACTTGGATGAATGCTGATAGTTTGAACGCTTTGAGAAGCAAGAGCTGCTCTTTTCTCATCTTTTTCCAGTGCTTTCTGTTTCCCACCATTTTGAAAATATTCCCGGGATACACTTAAGGAAAGAAAGGCAGATAGTTTTAAACAAACACCCTCCTGTGGTATTCTATTACACCCATGGTTTAAAACAGCAATCGCCAACCGGTGGTCTGCGGCCCACTGGTGGTCCACGAGAAAATTTTGGTGGGCCGCAGAGAAATGTCACCCCCAGAGCACCCCCCCAAAGCAATTAATCCAGGCTGAGCAGAAACACAAGACTGCGCCACCCACATGGCCCGCAGGAACCCTCCCCGCCCACTCACTCCTTACCCGGCAAGCTTGCCTGCTAAGTTGCTATTTTTCCTTTTTTCCCCCCCGACCATCAGCTGTTCTGCTGTGCCGGGAGATTTAGATTAGCCAGGAAGCAGGAAATGGTTGGATTTCTTGTTTTCTAGCTAGTCTTTAGATCTTTGGCTCTGCTTAAAAGCAGAGCCGAACCTCCCTTAGGACTGAAGGTTCTGTTATTCAGTGCAGACTCAGGGCAAGCAAACTTTATGTGACAGACTCAGGTAGCCGATGGCAGATAGATCAATGCATGATTCTGTGAGCAACTCAATCTGCCTGCCTGCTTTGCCTGATTTTGGGTAAAAGTTGCTCTTTTCGTTCTATAAAAAATTCATATTTACATACATGGTGTGTTGTGAGTTAATTCTGTGAGTTTGCTTGCAAGCAAATTTTATGTGACAGACTGAGCTAGCCGATGGCAGACAGATAGATCTCTGAATGAATCTGTGATTCTGGGAGCAACTCAATCTGTCTGCCTGCTTTTGGGTAAAAGTTGCTCTTTTTTTTATAAAAGTTTCAATATTTATATAAACATTTGTATTATTTATATACAAGCCATGCCCAGCCAGTCACATGACTAAGCCACACCCACAAATTAGGCCACACTCACAGAACCGGTTAGTGGTCCCTGGGATTTAAAATTACGGGTCCAAAAGGTTGGTGACCCTTGTTTAAAACACTGTAATTATTCCATATTACAATAGTGTAATTTAAATATACTTCATCAAAATGCATATAAAATTAACAATTGGATTTAAGCTAAATGCTGAAATAACCACAGAAACTGTTCAGTATTGTATAATTCTTTCAGTGACTCATGCAGTACCATAGAATTGCATGGATCTCATTATTTCCCCTTTTTTCCCCATTTTATTCTTCATTATTGTTTTTCCCTATGCATCTTCAGCACTATTTTCTATAGCAAATTACTTTTTCTAGAAAACATAGTTTATTTCTTAAGTCATCTAGGAATGAAAAACAATAATTATTTCTTCAATATGATTTCACGTTAAAGAATATTAGGTAGTCCTCATCGTACAACCATACGTTTAGTGATCAAACTTACTATGACGCTGAAAAAAATGAGTTATGACCAGTTCTTGCACTTATGACTGTTGACCAGTTCTTGCACTTATGACTGTTGCAGCATTCCCAATTCAGGTACCTGGCAACCAGCATGTGTCTACAATAATTGCAGCCCCTTGGGGTCATATGATCACTATTTGCAACTTTGCCAACCAGTTTCCAACGAAGTGAATAGAAGAAGTCAGATTCCCTTAAAGGCTGCATGAGTCACTTAACAACTATGGTTATTTAACAATTTTGCCAAAAAAGGTATTAAATTGGGTGTGACTCACTTAACTGCCTTGCTTGCAACAGAAATTCTGGTCCCAATTGTGGCTGTAAATTGAAAACTACCTTTATAAAATTCCTGTGTCTATGCCACAGAACTCATAAAGTAGGTTCACTAATGGCTTTATGTACATATTAGAAAGCATGAAAGACAATACTGTATGGCGGGGTGTCAAACTCGCGGCTTGTCGGCCGGATGCATCATATGCTGGCCTTGCCCCCACCCGGTTTAGTGAAGGGGAAAAAAGTCCCGATACATCACGTGACGCTGCCATGACACCACAAGTTTGGCACCCCTGTTGTATGGGATTCTGTAGGACATTACAGGTTCAGTGCCACAGGATAATGCACAAGCTCCAAATTACTTTTGAAACCAAATTTGAAAATAAAAAATGAACTCTCGTGATTTTCAGTCCTAATGCACACAACTGGATTAATAGAATATTACAATTGTGGGTATTTAAAGTTGCCAAATGGTTAACAAAAAATCTATTTTATTTATTTATTTGGATCCCTTTATTATTTTTACAGTAATTTAAGGTGGTGAATATATACAACATATTTCTCCTATTTTCCCCACAACATTGGGGGTGATTTGGACTAAGACTGACTGGCCCAAGGACACCCAGCCGGCTTTTGTGGCGAAGGCAAGACTAGAACTCAGTCTCCCACTTTTTAGCTGAGTGATTTAACCACTATACCAAACTGACTTTCATCACAACACCCAACCTTTCTCTGAATACAGATCTTTATATTAAGTTTTGATTTGTGCAGAACCTAAGCCTAATACATACTATATAGCAAGGGTGTCAAATTCAACCGTAGGTCAGATCTGGCCCGCGGGGTGCTTAGATCTAGCCCATGGGGCTGTCCTGGAAACAGCAGACTGACCCATGGTGCTTCTGCCAGTGAAAACAGAGCTCAGGGCTGTGCGCGGCCTTCCCAAGCTCCGTTTTCACTGGCAGATCACTGCAGGAGGCCACCACAGTTGAAACAGAACACGGCCCTCAGAGCTCCATTTTCACTGGCAGAGTACTAGCAAAAAGAACTACTAGTGAAACTGGCATTTGATCACACACTTGGCCCTCCCGCACACACCATGAGAAACCGGGCCAAGGAGAGAGAGAACAACAGCAGCAGCAGCCTCGAGGAGGTAAGTGCAGCCGGGCTAACTTTCCACAGGACTGGGCTGGGTTATGGGGTCCCAGTGCCCCAGGAGTTTGAGGAATGGGCACTTGCCCTCCACTGCCTAGGGCTCTGGACAACCTGCATCGCAGTCTGGGGTCCTCCATATGGCCTGAGGGATGGGAAGGGGAGGCTCCTCTGGAAGACGGGTTTGGTGCTCTCCCTGGTCTTGCCTTCCTCCACTCGCCCAGGCCGCCATATGTGACGTTGAGCTGGCCACACCCACCCTGGTCACACACACACACACACACGCTCCTCAATGAAATTGAGTTTGACACCCCTGCTATAAAGTTTTGATCAGGAATAACAATCTGAAACTCTCCATATATTTAGAATTTCAACTCTCAAGCAAGTACAACCAAAAGTCAAGAATTGGGACAATGTAATTAAAAAACTGGTGGGCCTTATGTTTTCACAGTTCACTTTTGGTAAAGATAATGTTTTATTCAAGAATATCTGGAACTGGATTATCCTCATTTGATTGCTATACTTAGGCTAAAAACAGAAAATGCATAGTTGGTTGATAGTTGTTATTAATGTTTAGGTCCAATTAAACTTTTCTCAAGAATGTCTCACAAATTTCTACTTCGCTACATTTTTTTTCTTTCAGACACTAATAACCTTCTGGACCCATTCAGCCATCCCTCTCAGAATGATTAGAAATAATCAAGAAAGGCATACATTAAGACTATAGGTGGATAGTTGGAGCTCTTCAAGCACTTTTTCTATACACTCAGATTACAAAACACATCTTTCAAAACTGGAAATTTATAGTACTCCCACTATCTTCCAAAAAGGCTGCGAAACATTTTTAATATTATGCAGTATTTTCTTTCCTTAGACTATATAAAGGTTTACCTGCAGCACCATTCAATGCGACCTTCTCCTTCACAAGTTTTAGTCCAGTGATTATCTGCCAAGTTTTTCATTGCCTCAGCATATTCACAGAGAGTTTCTTCATCCTCACAATGTTCACGCCATATTTTATCAAAGTCACCCACTAAACAAAAACACACATACATAACATGAAAGCAGCTATTAAAACTTCACTGTAAAAGAAATTGTGAAAAGAGGTAGGCTACAGTATATTCCAATATATTTTCTACTTAACAAAACTCACTATATAATGTGATGTTATAAAATAACTGATCCATACAATTCTACCTACCCCTTCTAAGGCTTACTTGAGGATATGAATATACCCATTAGGATATCAGCAATAAAAAGCTCTTTTCCTGTGATGGTGTTCAGGCCTGAAACATTTTCTGCCATGAACTCTGAAGTGATGAATTTTTAAAAATAGAAGTAATTCCTTTATGTTTCCTTCCATGCTTGGTGAAAGATTTGTAATTCAAAAACATTTACTTGATTTCCTTTTCTTAGCAGGCACACTGCACATACCAAATTATTAGCATGACAAACTATTACGCCAACCATCATTTCTTGAAATTTCTCATCACAGCAGCAAAATTGACATTGAAGATTATATAGCAAGAGTCCAAAATCTCTGGCTCGGCTAAGGCCTGAGATCAGGAGTTAGTCATTTCAAGGTATTCACAAATAACCTGACATGGCCGATTGCTACAGCTCAATTCGGTCTTCACTTGCAACCAACCAAAACTGGCTGACTTAACAATGGAGGAACATCACGAGGCAACTGGTTCCACTGAACAGTGTGTGTCCCTGAGTGTGAGAAAATCATCACACGCATACACACACAGGGTATCCAATTAAAAGAAAGCATTATTTAGATTTTTATCTATTTCCCCAGTGAGGTCCATGCAGCATTCAAAAGAATAAAAGAAAACATAATTTAAAAAGTTAAGCACGAAAATTAAAGTTCATTTAAAAAAAAAATCTAAGAAGCTGAAGCAATTGTTCAGTACAAACAGCCAACTAAATAGGCATGTCTTCAGCGATTGATTAAAAGAATAGCGTGGAAACATAGGAACTAGTTTCATAGTTGGGAATTGCCATCTTGGAGGCCCTTATCATCATACTGTAAATTGAACCCATTAGTTTTTTAAAAATGGGCTTCTCTGTTGATTTTACTGCAGGAGTTGGGTGATATTGGGAGATAATTTTTTTTTAAAGTATTTGACTCCTCAAGCATTTAAAGCCGGGGTCCCCAACTCCTGGCCTACAGCCTGCCAGGAACCAGGCTGTGCAAGTGAGCGAAGCCCCATCTGCACATGCGTAGGATCCAGGCAGCGCACGAAACCAGACCCATTCCTGGTTTGTGGAAAAACAATCCTCCACAGAAGTAGTCCCTGGTGCCCAAAAGGTTGGGGGCCACTGATTGTAGATGACCGTTAATAACTTGAATTAGGCCTGGTGCTGCAAAAGCAGTAAAGGCAGCTTAATTCCCGGGCCTCAGAAGGACCAATCCATATTGTTTCATATGAATTCAGCTTCCCGGCTTCACCCACTTTCTTGATCTTCAGACAGATGTTATATACCTGCAAAATCTCCCCTGATTAAGATGGGAAGAGGCGATAATCATACTGGTATCAAATATCTGAGCTACCACACCCAAGTGGCTGTATGGAAATACTGAAGGAAGAACAAAAAACTTTGTGAGGTTGTCACTAAGCATAATGAAGCCAAATAGAACTCCCCTTCTCCAGTGTGCTGACGAGAGAATCTAGGAAAGGGACAAACCAAAGCTAGCTTGTCCTAAGGGTGGGCAGCGATCTAGTCCGGAGTTCCTGGGTCTGTGTGCACCCTCTGGCCTGCCAAAGGCCACTTCACAGGTGATACAAAGGTGTCCAGTTTGTAGTGCCTTATGAATGGAGATGCAAGAACCATGTAGCTGCTCGATAGAGTTCTTTGATAGAGGCCTGTATCATCCACGCCGCCACTGTGGTCGCACTTCTGGTTGAATGGCCTGTCACTCGCCGAGGCAATGGGAGAGCATGAAGCTTGTAGGCTTTGGCAATGCATGTCTGTATCCACTGACCTGCAGTTGATGCGGTAATCCTGTTACCCAGCATAGAGGGTTGGAAGGAAACACATAGGGACTCCGTCTTCCTAAGAGATGCTGTTCTCTTCATGTAGATGTGGAAGACCCTCCGAACATCCAAGATGTGCCACTTCTTCTCTAGGGCATCAGTCGGGCCCGGACAGAAGTCTGGCAATATTATTTCCTGTGTTCTGTGGAACAAGGAATTAACCTTGGAAAGGAAGGAGGGATCCAACCGCAGAACCACCGTTTGAATGAAATATGCACAGATCCTCCCTTATACAGAGGGCTGCCAGTTCAGATATTCGTCTGGCCAAGGTAATGACCACAAGGAAGGCTACCCTGCCGGTAAGGAGGCGCAGGCTAGCTGACCTTAATTGCTCAAAGGGTGCAAAGGAGAGAGCTTGCAGGACCTTGGGCAAGTCCCAGGTGGGATTATCTATGTACCACTGGAGGCTTCAAGTTCATTCTGCCTCTAATGAAACTGCACACGATATGGTGTTGACCGAGGACAGAGCTGCCACTTGCCTGTGTATAGTATTGGGGGACAGACTTTTGTCCAGCCCTTCCTAAAGGAATTCCAGGATCTGGGCCAGTGATACAGAGATGGGATCAATGTGACCTTTGGAGCACCAGCCACAAGAGGCTTTCCAAGTTGAGTCATAAATTCTGTTAGTAGATGGCTGCCGGGAGGCCTGGTCTGTATTACGTTGTTGGAGAAATTGTCCTGTCTCAGAACTCTCCGCTCAAATGCCAGACGGTCAGTTGGAACCACTGCAGTTCTGGATGGACTAGGGCCCCCTGACTGAGGGATATTCTGTCTTGAGAGGATCCTCCAGGGCCTGGATACCGACAGGCTGACCAGATTGGCAAACTATGGCTGTCCGGGCCAGTGGGGAGCCAGGAGTAGGACCTTTGCCTTCTCCGCCAGCACCTTCCTGATTAACCCTAGAATTAGGGGAAGAGGAGGAAAGGCGTATAGTAGCCCTTGGGGCCATGGACTGCGGAGTGCATTGACTCCTTCCACCCCAGAGTTGGAAACCTGGTGAAAAACATGGTTAGGCGGATGAAACACGGATGAAAGGCGAAGGTGAAGTCCACGTGGCTGCTCTGCAGATCTCTTCCACCAATGCCTGCATAGCCCAAGCCGCCGTACTACGAGTGGAGTGTACGACTGCCTACCTGCAGAAATTCCAGAACAGCAGCCACCGAGGCTTGTAAAGGTGAGGTGTTGGACTTAACACACCAAGCGGAAAAGGATTGCCAAGTAGCTTCATAAATACAAATTGCAGAAGGTCGCCTGGAGGCCCGAATGTTTTGGATAACTTTGTTGGAGAGCTGGGTGGTTTTCAAAATGCCCCACTCAGTCGCAAAAACTGCCAGGTGCAGCCACTGGGGCTCCGGATGAGTCAGGGACCCCTGGAGAAGAGACATCCTCCTCAGGAATCCGCCAAGGGTGGATCACTGACAGGCCCATCAAATCAGCAACCCAATGCCGCCGGAGGCCAAAAAGGAACCACCAATATGACCTCGGCCCTTTCCAACAAGAGCTTCCGAACCACAGCTGGGATCAGAGGCAGTGGCGGAAAAGCATACAGTAAACCAGAAGTAACAAATAGGAACATGCAAACAGGCTTCTATCAAGTCTATTGATGTGAGTAAGTCCCCCTGCCAAACGCTCTCCAAGATGGAAGATAGAGTGTGCATTTAAAACGGCTGCAGACAACGTATTTATTGAGTCGTTTCAGGTCAAGAATTGTCCTGCCATTGGGAATAAGGAAAATTCTAGAGTAGAATCCCATCCCGTTGGTTGAGGGGAATCTCCTGAATGGCCTTGAAGTCCAGCAAATGCTGGATGGCGAACTCCATCAGACTCCACTGCCCAGCATCTCTCAATACTGGACAGGAGATGAAGAACCTTGGAGGAGTGGAGTAGAATTCCAGTGAAAGACTCAATCTAACGGTGGACACAACCCAGGCGTCAGAAGTAATACCCTCCCATTGGTCCACAAACCATGCAAAACGGTCGCCAATGGGAATGGACTGTGCACTAGCGCTGGCGACAGAATGGGCGACTTCCTTCTCCTCGAAAGAGCCGTTTTGAAGAAAACTGCTGTCTGCCCTTGCCTGAACGCTATGACTATCACTAAGTGTTGCATCTTATGATTCTTGACGAATGTATTTTTTATGTACAATGGGAGCTTATGCACCAGTGCTGGGATTCAAATCTTTTTACTACCAGTTCTGTGGGTGAGGCAGGGGAATGATAGTGTAAAATCTCCAGTCAGAGGTGGTATTTGCCAGTTCTCCGAACTACTCAAAATTTCCACTACCGGTTCTCCAGAACTGGTCAGAACTTGCTGAATACCGCCTCTTTTATGTACCAAAGACAAATTCCTTGTGTGTCCAATCACACTTGGCCAAGAAACTATTCTATTCTATTCTATTTCTATTCTATTATTTAAAACATATAAGAAGCAAACAATATAGAACAATGACAGGAGATAAAGTAAGACTAAAGCCACAAAGCCAATATATTTTAAATTGTGGGATTATTTTTCAGATACAATAATCTGAATTTCATATAGGAAATCAGTTAAAATAAATAAGTTATCTAATTAGTTTTTTAGGCACCTAAAAATATTATCTTGCTGATCTTCATCCTGACAAAGAGTCCTATCACTGCAAGTACACTGGCTATGATTGTTACTAAAGGTTTGTTAAAAATGTGATATTTATTTGATGTAATCATGTATTTGTTGCCAACCCTAGTGACTCTAAGCATTTGCAATTAAAACAAGACAATTAATTATAACTAATTAAAATATCAATATAAAAATTCCTCAAAACCTGACTAAAGCAGTGGTTTTAAATTGCCTCTTCAATGTTAAGGCCAGTCTCATTCAATGACAATTAATCCACAATATACCCTAGAATTTGTAGCAGAAACCATAGGCCATTCTAATATGTACCTTAAATTTGGTTCAGAAAGCAACTGCTAGCCAGTATAATTGTTGAAATTCCTCTGCACTCATGTATCACATTCTGAGCCAATGGCAATTTGCAGAGTGTTTTCAAGGGCTGTCCCATGAAAAGCAAATGCAGTACTTCAGCCTTGAGACTACCAATACAGTCTTTTTTTCAGAAATTGAAAACATCTACAAAGTAAATGCGCCCTCTTGCTATTAACGCCTTTCAATGGCTTAATGCTGAAAAGAAAGACTTCCAGTATGGGAACAAAATTGTATGGGACAATGAAGAGTTGGTCCAACACAGTACTAGCATCCCTCGTCCTTTTATCTCTTTTGCCCTTATATATTTCTAGTTACTTTTTGAAAGTTCAAAGTTGAAGAGATGGCTGACCATTTTACTTGCTGTGGTGAACAGTTTTATTAGAGACTGCTTTAGAAACTACGGAAAAACTTCTCATTTTTATAGTATCTGTTCAAGGGAAAAAAAGGTGTTACAATATTCTTTTGTTTTGCTTTCAAGTTTATCCTCCTAATTTGTCAGTTAAATCACCATTATTTCAAGGGCCCAGGCTGAAATACTCTTGAGATAAAAATAATAAAATAAAACTGAACTGTACAAGAGTTTGTTCCGCTACGCCATAAAATTCTGGGGTGCCTTGTTTTTAAAACAAATTTTACAGACAGCTGTCAATAAAATTGAGAGCAACACCTAAGATAAACCAAAGGATTGTCACAATGAAATCTGAACCACCACCCCATCTTGAAACCTAATAATAATACATGTATTTTTGAAACCTAATAACTTTATATTTATGGTCTGGAATCAAGTTTTTTATATTCCGAGCAAATATCTTTCCAGATCTTTGCATCATTGCTTTTTTTTCAAAAAAGAGCACCAGCACCTACTAAAATTAGCTCCAGTAGTTCTTTTTAAAAGGCTCACCAATTGCTGTTAATGCCACTCTTTACAAAAAAAAAGAAAGAAAGAAAAGTGTGCTATTTAGAGTAAGGTACTTCACAGAACGAAAATCACTTAGCTTTGAAATGTGAAGCTAAATTCTGTCCGACCCCAAATCAAATGGTTCCCCGGAAATTCTCAATTATAACGTCCCCCTTTTGCCTTCCAAGGGAATTGGGAATTATTTTTCTTTTTTCCCCCTTTTGCCTTTCAAGGGAATTGGAGTTAATTTTTCTTTTTCCCCCTTTTGCCTTCCAAGGGAATTGGAGTTAATTTTTCTTTTT